GAGAGAGAGAGAGACCAAGAACTCCCTTTAAACATCATCTGACAGTAGGATGGGAACTACGGCCTTTCCCTGCCTGATTCCTATTTGATGTTAAATTGCTGCCAACCTGAAGATCTCCTTCCTGTTTGAAGTTAGCTTGCTCCCAGTGGGACATGTGTGCATGATGATGATGATGATGATTATTATTATTACTTTTAAGATGTTTGCTTCATTATGAACACTAGTTCAATCCATTCGCCTCAGTTCCAAGATCTCCTTTTTATTTTATTTTCTATCATCTGACATCAGGTTTGCCTGAAACTTCCTCCGAGGCTTTCTCTCATCCTTGTCTCCAACATGATGAGCAAAAAAGCTTTCTTCTCACTGAGCTGGAAATTTCATCATCTAATTTATTTTTTAGCATGAATCTGGGCAGGTCCAGAGGGACACCATAATTTTCTGTACTTCCACAACAAGAAGCCACCTCTGGCTTCAGTGTCCAGCATGTCTTGTCTTCTTCCCATGTATGCTTTGTCAGCAACTCAAAGATTCTGCCCTTTGATGCGACTTAACTGCCGGCTATCTATCTCCCTCCCTGCAAACCAGCATTTATACATGACACTGTGTTGTTTAGGAAGCAATCCATCATGTGGAATACCTTTGGGTGGGATCAAACTTTATGGAATCATTTTAAGATTTGGAAGTTGGTTGATTGACAAAGTGAAGAAAATAATACCAACTTATGTTGCAAATAAATTTGGTCTTATATCAAGAAGAGCATGTAAAATATTGTGAAAAATGGTCTTTAAACTATGTCGATTTTTTGGTAGGGAAACTAAAGACTCTTCAAAGAATTTGTTAATGTTACTAATAATTAAAAAAATATAATTTTTGTTTATCTTGTAATAAAAATCCTATCTATGGATTCGCTTGATCTAATAAAGTTATGTATACCTAAAATTTGATGCTTAAGCAACGACTTGACGCGAATTTAGGGTCTACTAATTTGCATGAACCGCATGATTTTGTATAAACGCGTATCTATTCATTTTTATGAAGACAACTCATGTTGCAAACTAATTACAGAAATAAGTTACGTCTAATCTAGGTATGTTAGATGCAATGCAAATGCTTTGCAAACTGAAAGTGTTTCGTAATTTCAATCGACCAAGCACGGGAGATCGCTTGTTTAGTAGTTTATGAAGCATTCGGATGCGATGTTAGATGTGTTACTAATAATGCTAGCACATCTATTTAATCAATTTTCACAGTTCTTATAGAATAATTTATTTTTGTTATCGTTCATGCTAAATAAAAAATCATTAATGCTATCTTCACATCACACTATCTAAACATTCATTTATTTCATGACCTCAATATCATGTTCACTCTTGTTTGCTTATTTGATCTCTAGTAATGCCTCATGATTCTTTTCGGATGATCGTCCGAGCCAATTGGTTCTAGCAGATCCAATCCAATCCCATATATCTATATTTTTAAAGGCTAATTTTAGTTCTGATCCTGACTTGCTCAATCTGTACTATGTTCTAAAAGGTAAATGGAATTGAAGAACACAAAATATAAAGTTTTTACCTTATGGAGGACATTTGATTTCTTATTACACATGACTACAATGTTTCATTTTACACAGATTGTGATTTCTCAATATCATAGCCCATCATACATTTGCATTAGCAAGTAGCTTCTGATTAAACTTGGATGTGGGGATGTGCATGCACATATTTGTATGGATTTATGGAATGACAATATGTAAAAGGAACTCATTTTTGCCATGAGAATTGATTTGATGGATTAGCACCATTTGTAATTCCATTGAATAGAACACATATTTGTGGTATTTGTTTCTTTTTGTGGATTTTTAGAATGAAGAATCATGCTCGAAAACACAAATCTTTGGGTTATATGAATATAATAGTGGATGGCTCGCGGAAATTACTTCTTACTTGAAGTATCCGAGTTTATTACTTGGAGCCTATTATTGCTTTTACACTCTTATTAGGTACATAAAGACTTTATTATATATTTATTTAGCATCAGGCCATTTTGTAGGCATTCTATCATCCTTGTTTTAAAGGTATTATGTCTTTCGTCTCAATATTTGAAAAAAGAAAAAGAAAAAAATAAATCGAAGATCTAATTAAAGATGAACCAAAGGAGTACAAGCAGCTGATTATATTAGAAAGATCAAAAGGGAAAGCAAAATTCCACATGCAAGTGTTAGAAACTCTCTCTCAAAAATTCCACCATGCACTTTTATCCATTTTAGAGCTTCAGTCATGCCAGATTGTAATATCTTGAAATTGCCTCACATTGAAATGTTAGAAAAAGTTTATGATTGCATGTCTTGTAATTAAAGGAGTCAGTTTGCACATAAAAAAACATGGTTTGACAACAATGCAAGTTGTTGGTTTTTAGCTCTTTCCAAACTCTCTCTCATGTTGAACACCTAATATTTCATGGTTTCATACTATCATGCTGAAGCTTTATCATCAGATTCTAACTCTCTCCATCTTTGAACTGCTGCTGCTGCTGCTGCTTAGCATTAAATCGACCATCGAGAGGTACAAGAAAGCATATGCCAACACTTCCAATTCAAGCTGCACTATAGACACCAATTCACAGGTATGTAGTTCCAACTTCACCTCAGTTATCAATCAGTTCTTTTAGGACAATATCCCATGAACTATACATACATATACATATGTATGCTTTTAGCAATATGTACGACTTGTCTGAATTGACCTATTTACATTTGATCAGACATGTTGTCCTATTTAGAATCGAACCAAATATGTGAGAATATGTGAGAATAAAATATATTTATATATATATTTGAGTTTCATTCTCTTTTCTCCTTTATAATAAAGAGACTCAAATATCCTTAAAAACTTTAAATATCTTTGGTAATAAATGAAGAGTTGAGGATATTTCAATTGTATTTAAAGTCAAGTAGACTATAACTTGTTAGTGTTTATATATCATGTTAACTGTAGTAGCTCTCATAAAACACAGCAAACAAGATAGCTGTAGATCCTCCACATTTTTTTCTCTCTCTTTTTCCTGAGAAAGAAGAAGAAGCTCATGCACTTCAATAGCTTCAGAATGGTACAGAAATCACCAGCAGAGAAGTAAAGAGAAAAGCCAAACAAAAAGATAAAGTGAAAGGAAAAAAGAAGAAGAATACCTCATCTTTGTTAACTGCATCAGTGGAGTCACCACAAGTGAAATCATCATTGCTTTCCCTTTGATTTGACTGTGATTGCAGCAATACTACCAGCAAGAAGCAGCAAAGCTGCGCCACCAGATACAGATTCTACAAAATGCAAACAAGTGAGTCGTCTGACTCAAACCCTCATATCTGCCTTACAATCTCAAGCTTGCGGCTAAATGGACTATAAAATGTTTACCCTCAGGCACTTGATGGGTGAATCCCTGAGCTCTCTGAGCGTGAAGGAGCTCAAGCAGCTGGAGAATAGACTCGAAAGAGGCATCACAAGGATCAGATCAAAGAAGGTAAACCATCTGTCTGCCAAACATTCAGTGCAGCTTCTCTATTGTCCTAACGAGTTCAAGTTTTCTTCCCAGCATGAGCTGCTGTTTGCAGAGATCGAGTACATGCAGAAAAGGGTAAAAGGCTCTTGCGATCTTATCGGTTATTCCAATCGTTCGATCTCTTGTTAATTGCTTCTCCCACTGGAATGCAGGAAGTTGAGCTTCAAAATGACAACATCTACCTCAGAGCCAAGGTAACATCGGCAGAAGAACCCTAGAAACTCCCCCTCACTTCTTCCTAAGTTTCAGAGAGTACCATTCAGTCTTCTATCTTTTACTTTGGGAATTCTCAGGTAGCAGAGAATGAGCGGGCGCAGCAAGAAGTTATCGTGTCGACCGGAGCCGAATTCGATGCTCTTCCGACTTATGATTCGAGGAACTATTACCATGTCAACAACATGTTGGAGGCAGCATCCCACTACTCTCACCATCAAGATCAGACAGCCCTCCATCTTGGTTACGAAATGAAGGACAGTTCTGCTGCAAAGAACATGATATGAGCATGTCTGGTTCGTGACGACTGTAGCTAGTAACCCTGCGCGTGCTTAATCCTAAGAGGACTGTGTGAGAGCTGTTACTTGACTCTGTAATGTACGTAGACGCTTCTCTATTTGTACTGTGCCAATAAAAGGTATCGAACCAGTGGCTACTACCCCATCGTTTCACTCTTTAATCGTTGTTCTCGTGATTTAGTATGCTAAGATGCATGAGCTGAATACTGTTTCCCTTTTTCCTGGTCGAAAAGGTCGATGCCAAATCTCCTCATCATTCACAAGCTACATCATGCTGTGGTTATACAGCATGCAACGAAGTCTGCTGGTATATATTATCCTCTCGTGTGATGTAATAAAGCATGTCATGCTTAGTGTGAAGACTACAGTGCAACTCTGAGTTCAGAACTCATATGTGGGCATGCCTTCCAAGTTGCTGTTTGGTCATCATTACGCATCGCCATGGCCCCTGTGGTGCTCACAAGAGTGACTCCAATACCTTAGAGGACGATGAGAAAGAAGGTGAGAGAAAAAGAGCATTGGGAACATGGGAACCAGCTGCAGCAGCTGCCCCACTTGTGTTGACTTTTGGACCGACTCAACCCTCTGCACCCTTTCTTTATTAAAGTTCTTCATCCCAAAAGCTTCCCGTAGATCAGATGTGCTCCATTCTAGAATGCGTCATGTAGTTCTGGTGGTCTTGCTGGTACCCACTACCGCTGCTACTGGTACTCTACTTGGATCATGTCGAGAGCAAACAAGTGGAGTGCGCACAAAGTTGGCTGCCCGATGAAGTGTGGCACCACTGTTGACCTCTGGTGGAGTATGGTTTCTTCATCCCCAATATCGGCATTGATCTCTTGGGGGAGAAGTTGCAGATATATACTCGCACCCAGATCATTCGTTCACAGAAGTTGCAGTAGCTCCTTGCTGTTCTCCTCCTGCTCTCGTGGCTAGAAATCCGGATCAGAGAAGATGGTTGCTTCTTATGGGGCGAAGTTGCTCTTGCTGATTGCGTTGCTCAGGTGTGGAGCTAAGCTTGGTGCAGATGCCTTGAGCATGGATTACTACATGATGAGCTGCCCCTTCATGGATCAGATGGTGAGGAGCACAGTGTATCAAGCCCTGCGCAGAGATCCCACGCTTGCTGCGGCGCTTCTGAGGTTGCACTTCCATGATTGCTTCGTCCAGGTTTCTTACAGACTGCTCTTCGATCGATAACCTAACGTAACACACTTTATTAGCCTGACTTGCTTTTCTGGCTGCACGCATGCAGGGATGCGATGCGTCGGTTCTCATCGATTCCACAGAGGACAACACCGCGGAGAAGGACTCTCCTGCAAACCTGAGCTTACGTGGTTACGAGGTCATCGATCGAGCCAAGCAGCTGATCGAGGATCAGTGTCCGGGAGTTGTTTCATGCGCCGACATCGTCGCGATGGCCGCTCGAGATGCCGTCTTCTGGGTAATATAACCATCATGTCTTCTCCTGCATCCAACATCTCTGCCATTGACACCGCGTTTGGTTCTTAGGCCGGAGGTCCATTTTATGAGATACCAAAGGGCAGAAAGGACGGCAGGAGGTCCAAAATAGAAGACACCGTCAACCTTCCTGCACCCACCCTCAACGTCACAGTCCTCGTCAAGATGTTTGGTCAGCATGGATTTGATGCACAGGAGCTGGTGGCTTTGTCAGGTATGCAGTAATAATAATAATAATAATAAGAATTCTCAGTCAGTATCTGAGAATTTATGATGTGGGGGTGTTGGAGGGGCACACACGTTGGGGGCTGCAAGCTGCGCATCGTTCAAGAACAGGCTGAGCAATTTCGACTCCGACAACGGCGTGGACCCGACGCTGGACACCGACATGGCCAGGACGCTGTGGAGGGCATGCACCGCCGGGGACGGATCCCGAGTGCCGTTCGACCGCAGCAGCTACACCTTCGACAGCGGCTACTTCAACGCATTGCGGCGGGGGCTGGGCCTGCTCTCCTCCGACCAGGCCCTCTTCGCCGACCCCCGCACGCGGCCCGTCGTCAACGCCTACGCCATGAACGACGCCATGTTCTTCCTCGACTTCCAGCAGGCCATCCTCAAGATGGGGTTGCTCGACGTCAAGGAGGCCGGTCGGGGAGAGGTCCGCCGGGACTGCCGCAGGGTCAACTGATCAATGCAGGAAATTAGCCTCCTGCATCGAGCTACTTATGTGTTCGTTTATGTATCATACACGCTATCTATATCTTGTTGCAGCGATCACTCTTGCATTTCCGAAAGCTCTTGAGCTGTGGCTATGTGGATGTTGAGTTCATGAAGTCGATCTAATTCTCACTGTTCTTTCAGATACTTTAAAGCGATACCCGTTCCATTACCCGCCTTTTTGTGGCTAATGTCTCTTCTTTATTGTCCGGTCCTACCACACTGGTTGGCAATTCGAAGGGTACGAAAGTGTTTTGAGTATAACTTGGACGTGTCGAAATAATTTTGTACTCGTCCACGCCGAGAGATGGTCAAGCAGTCAACAGTCACGACAAATGATGCCAACGGACGGCTCGGATTCGTTTGGGAGATGAGACCGTCCGAATGCACTCACCCAACAGTGTTCTTCCTCCCCGACTCATCCTCTCTCGCTCGCTCAAGCTCGGGCTTCCGCGTCTCCCCCCGATTCTTTGAGCCAATCCGGAGCCGCAGGAACCCTAGCAAGATGGCGCTTCGATTCGACATCCCGCTCTGCCGCCGCCTCGCCAGCCTCCCTTCATCCCCGAAACCCAATCCACCGCCTCCGTTTCCGTCGATTTCGATGCCCCCTCGGTCTGCCCGCCGTCGTGTTGCAGGCGAGCCCTCTTTTTGTCCAAGCTTGTTCTCTGAGTGAAGGTTTGGTGAAAAGATCGTTTCTTTCTCGCGTTTTCTTCAGGCGTAGAGGCCGGGTTCAACAAGGACCGGACTCGAAGCCGGATTAATTGCATTGCAGAGGGCGATGGAAGAAGCCAAGTCTGTTTACCAACTTGAAAAGGAGTAATTCTTGGTATTTGGTTCTTTTTCCCAGTTTAGTGTTAGAGTTTTGATTCAAGCAATTGTTTCTGGTAGAATGAAGCTGTGAAAGAGAGGAGCGTCTCAGTGGTTCTTTTGGCAGGAGGACAGGGGAAGAGGATGGGAGTAAATTTTCCTTCTTTTCACCTTTTTTTTTTTTACTCTCAACTTTATTAACATCAAAAAGGATGCCCAGATATCAGTAGTCGGTTATAAATTTATGATTTATCTGAAAACTAGCCATCTACTTATGTATTACCATTGTATTCAACTTTCTATGAACTATATACTGCTGCTATTCTGATCTTGGTCATGAAATAGACTTGTCAATTTTGTGTACCTGATCGTGTCATTGACTGATAGACTGGTGTAAGCCTCATCAATATTGACAAGTATATAATGCGAGTGAGTTTTTTAATGCAATAAATAGAATGTTGCACATTAAGAAAATGATCTAGATTGTTCCAGTAACATATTCATGTGAAGAAAAGAATTCCAGAAATAACAGGATCAATCAGATCATTCAATTAAATTTATTTTTATTCATGTACCAGAGGTGATTTCACCATCATATTGCATTTCACACATTTTCTAAACTTTCCAAGTAGCCTTAATCAGGAAATCTGTCATCGGCCCTGTCAATAGGCTTCATGATTAGGTGCTGATCATAAAGTTCTAGATTCCATGTTGTTATTGTTGTTGTAATTAAAGTGATGCTTTGAATAGAATCCCAAGTAATTTATATTCTTTGATTTGGTTGTCACATAGATATCTTTTCCCTTTTCTGTTTATTCCACAGGCAAGCATGCCAAAGCAATACCTTCCCCTCTTAGGACAACCAATTGCACTGTACAGGTTCCACACTATGTTCATTACATTTGAAATTTCTTTGTAGTTTTTAATACAAATTCTACACTTACCTACTGGTACATGAGCAAGCTGTGGCCTTTTTTCTTTCTCAGTTTCTATACTTTCTCCCAGATGACCGAAGTTAAGGAAATAGTTGTAGTGTGTGATCCATCATACAAAGATGTATTTGAAGGTTTGAAAGTCTCATGGCACCCTTCTTAAACTTTGAAACCTTTTGAGCTTCATATAAGCTACTCTGATGCCCATTTTGGTGAGCAATGGAAATTAATGCTATTCTTTATTTCAGATGCTAGCGAAAAATTAAACGTAGACCTTAAGTTTGCACTTCCAGGGAAGGAGAGACAAGATTCTGTTTTCAGTGGTTTTCAGGTATACACCGACTTAGTTCTGTCTTTTGGTTTTAGAAGCACAGAAAGCAGTTTCTATCTCTTTACTGTCATTATACTGCTAAAATACAGTGTTTAGCTATGTATCTCATCTTTATACTTCCAATGAAGGTCTCCTTTTAGACTGCTAAAATACAGTGTGTAGCTACGTATCTCATCTTTATACTTCCAATGAAGGCCTCCTTTTAGATTTGAAATAACGGCATCTCCTTTTAGATCAGAGACTATTTTTTTCTTCTCTTATCATCTTACTGCAGTTCTTTTTTACCAGCCACTATAACATTCAGATCAGAAAGTGATTCTTCATGTCCTGCCATTCTCCTTCATAACTATAATTTCATTAAATTGGAAAGCTGCACTTTGTTTAATTATTCTTTGTCAAATAATTACTTTAAAAGTTAAAACATAGTCAGCCATCTGCTATGATCAACAGCTTGTTTTTGTAGGTGTTATGTTTTATGTTCATTTATAGAGTGATTCTGGCAATTCACAGGAAATTGACGGAAGTTCAGAACTTGTCTGCATACATGATTCAGCTAGGCCACTTGTTTCATCTGGAGATATCAAGAAGGTTTTCATATCTTTTCTATACAATCTGGGATGCTAAGATACGTTAGTCATTATATGTTTTGTTTGTATGCCTTGCTAACCAATTTAATATCCTAGTACCCTTTTCTGTTACTATTACAGTTTGAAAAGTGGTACAGAAATCCACTGTTCCGTGCTTCTTCCATCCATGTAATCTCCCTTCCTCCCAGATAGTGATCAGGGGCAGCGGTCGATAAGAAGTCAAAGCTGTTGCTAGCAGTGTTTGAAGACATGTTCATTGTCATGGATGAAGGACTTCTAATAGGGAATAGAGGGGTATGCCTAGAAAAAGAAACAGGACACACGAATGGTGCGAATAAAGGGTTTCTCGCTTCGAATGAGTACTATAACCATATAATATTTTAGCCAGGTTTTATTGAAATTGTCTTGGATCTCGTGACCACATGGAATATTATTTCATGATGTACATTTCTTGTGATACCATTGATCTACGGTGTTGACAAACAGGATTATAGTGTGGAATAAGAGTTCTGGGTAATTGATAATGAGAGGGGCCTGCCATATTTCCTAAAATTTCATTGATTGACATGAGTGATGACCTTTCTCTTTAACTCAAAGGCTAATAGGAAATGAGTATATGCTTGAAATGAATCCAAAGGGTATGTAAGTATGTATTTGGAATCTTATCTGCAGAAAAAATTTATTCTATTTAGTGAATTTGCAAACTAAAAGCCATAATTATAGCTTCTACAACTTCACAAGTCATACAGAGGACATATTTGGAGGGTAATGCTGTAACACGATTTTTCTTCAATATTTACATGGTTAAATGAGCATCTTAAATTGTTGTGATTCATTCTGCTTGATTAAGCCATGGAGTATTCCAGTTTAAATTACCATCTGGAGTTTATGTTTTGGGTCTTATTTGCCATCATCAACGTAACTTGCTAAAACTGTGATGTCTTTGACTGAATATTCTCTTGCAGCTTTTTCTTCCACAGAAGTCTATGCCTAATGCCGTAGTTAAAGATGTATTTTGCTAATTGCTAGGTTGTACAAGATGCTTGGGTGGTAGGTGCAGCTGTTCTTGGAGTTCCTGTAAAAGCTACCATAAAAGAGGTACCATAAAGCTTGTACTCAATAGATGATTATGGGAAAGATTGTTCAAGACTTCAAGTTCCTTCTGAGTACAGAAATTTTTATATTGGTTTGAGGCTTCAATACTTTTTTATGCTTGTAAATAAGGGTATAATACATTGATAATTATGTGTTAATAATATTACAAACATATGGCAATGTAGACATATATCGCCAAAATCGAGCGATACATTCATAAAAAGTATAGTGGTATATATCGCCAGGGGAGACTTTGAATCAGCAGACATTTGTCAATGTAGAACTGTGAAGACTTGAAGTTTTGTGGTGCTGATGCAATAGGTAGAGATTGCAGGCCCTGCTGTCTTGTCATATATCATTATTTCTGTATTTTACTTTTCTCTCAACGTGTGAGTTGTGACTGTATCAGAAACTATGATCACATGATATGCTGCCGAAAAAATGTTTTCTTTTTCATTTTAAGGTTGATGAGTGCATGGCATGAAACTAGTCTTATTTCGGAATAAGTTTTTTTGCGGTCCTTATTTTCATAAGTGTGATTTTCAGGCAAACAAGGATTCCTTTGTGGTGAAAACACTTGATAGAAAAACCCTCTGGGAAATGCAAACTCCGCAGGTAGCTTGGTTAATGTTAAAAATATTAACATACGAGTTGGATTGTTCCTGAAGATCTTTGTTGCTTTTGTAGGTTATCAAGCCTGAATTGCTCAGAAGCGGCTTTGAGGTTGTGAACAGGTACCAGTATCGTAGTACCGATGGACTTATATTAACTGGTTGATAAAATGAAAAAATGAGGAAGTGTTTTCATGCCTGCTCTTGTAACTAGAATTTGATGTTCTTCTGTGTTTAGTGCATTAAAGTAACAACAATTTTTTCACATATCTTTAACTCTTCTGAACATGTGTTTTCTTATAAGATATTTACCAAAGAACTTAAATATCCATGTTGGCTCACAAGTTCTTCACTTGATCTGTCTCATATTACCTAGTTTTGCATATTTGAAATAACCTAGTTCGGAATAGTCATAGAACCAGGGTCGATGTCAAGCTGTACAAGATAATATTGCATTTGGAATGCATGATGTCTTTCTATAAGAATTGCTAGTGAGTGCTGGCAATCACTAAAAGAATATCTATAAATAAAAGAGTATCTATAAATCAGATACTGATAGACCTTTGTTTGCAATTTGTAACCTCAAAACAGGGATGGTCTTGAAGTCACTGATGATGTCTCCATCGTGGAACACCTTAAGCATCCGGTCTTTATAACAGAAGGTTCATATACAAACATCAAGGTAGCTTACTTGTTCTCTTTGCTTGTTTGTGATACAAAATAGTCTGCTACTACACTGGTCCAGTGCAGACATACAACTCTCAATATAAGGTGTCTTAGTCTGAACCGGCAATGAAGGCAGCTCTCTGACATCACGTTTTTTAAGCAAATTGTGGCTTGTGACAGCGTCTGATTCCACTTCAGATGTGCAAATGATCTTATAAGCCTGTGCTTTTTCGTGTATTTGATGCAGGTTACAACCCCAGATGATCTTTTGTTGGCAGAGAGGATACTGAATATGGAAATAGCAGTAGCTTCTTAAGTCCCTGTTGTTCTCTCTCTCTCTCTTTCTCTCTCTCTCTCTCTCAACAACATCACAAAGTTGATTTTTTTGGAATTTTGTTGTAGATCAATTGTGTCTGTTGTTCAGTATAGATCGATTCAGTTGGTCACATATTTTAATTGAACCTTCAAAGAAATCAATTGTCAAGCCATTGTATGTTTCCAGTGGTTTCATCACGTAAGTTACAGTCATGGTTGTCATATTATTCAAGTTCACAGAACTTACAGTAATATTATGTCCTTTGGAAAACAGATTTAGACTAGATTCTTTGAGCAAGATCTTGTTTGTTTCATCGTTCGTAGATTTATTCTGGTGCATAAATCTTTTGGAATCTTATGATCTAACTGGATGTCATTTTTGTCACCAAGATTTAAGAGGAATGGAGATAGGGATGCGGACGAGGAGGGCCAAAACGAAGAGGTAATGTATGTATGAAGAGGAGCAATGCAAGAACAAGATGAAGGATGTCAGTCGAAAGCAACACATGGCAGCACTGTGGCATCAGCTCGTCGACTCTGGTCTATGTCGTGGGCTTCTCCAGCAGAGCAGAGAGGTACCACTCGTTCTTATCGAGACCGCGGTCCAGCTTGCGGCCGGCGCTCCATCGGAGCTTCTTGAAGCCGATGCGTTGGAACATGGGCACGTAGGTGGCGTTGAGCTGCGTGCCGAGGCAGAAGAAGTGGTCGAGCCAGAAGAGACCGCCGGGGCGCAGCACGCGGTGGATGTCGAAGAGCGCGAACTCCAGCATGGCGTCCGGGATCCAGTTGCTGAGGACGTGCATGGAGTGGACGATGTCGAGGGTGTTGTCGAAGAAGGGAAGGCGATGGGCGACGCTGATGTGCAGCGGCAGCAGCCCCCGCGAGGCGATGAAGTTGTTGAAGGGCCCGTCGAAGTTCATGGAGCTCGTCACGATGGTCACGTTGCGCTCCCTCATCCTGGCCGCGAACGACCCCGTGCCGCCGCCGATGTCGAGCCCAATGCGGACGCTGCCGTGCTTCGCCTCGAGGACCTCGTCGATCCCGTAGTCCAGCTCCCCGTTGTCGTACAGCCACCGGTCCTTCTCCCGCCCGCTCAGGTCGAAGCAGTCCTTGCAGTCGTAGGTCCCCTTCTCCATCTTGCGGTGGACCAAGCACGCGTAGTTCTTGCAGGTGTACGCGTCCCAGGTGATGCTGGCGTCGGGCGGGATGGACCAGAGGCTCTCCGGGAACGGAGTGGGCTCGACGTAGCCCACCGGGGACTTCGGGTGGCACCGGCGTCGGGGGAGAGGCTCGCACCCCTTCAGCATCAGCCGCTGCGCGAATGCCTCGTCGGACGGGCACTCCCCGCCCACCGCGTAGCTCATGTACTGGGTCAGCTCCTCCTGGTAGCGTCGGCAAGCCGTGCCGAGCGTCGGGTAGAGCTCGTCGGAGCCGAGGTTGGGGGTATAGCCTAGGGGTAGCTTGTGCGGCCCCACCGCCAGCTTGAGCTCCCCGGTGAGCTGGTGCGCCCACCCCTCCAGGTCCTGTTCCGCCGCCTCGTCGCGCCGGGCCTTGCCGACGTCGGTGAGGAGGGTCTCGAGCAGGGTGTTGGTGGTGGACAGCCGCCTGCTGAGCAGCATTACCTCGGCCTGGCTGGCCGAGAGCAGACCCTGGGTCTCGTTCAGCTCGCGGAGCAGCGCGCCGGAGTCCCAGAGGTGGGTAGCCGGCGGCAGCCAATTGATGCGGCCGGAGGAGCCGGAGAACAAGTAGATGGAGAGGAGGTTGGTCAACACCAGCACCAGCAGGATCTTGAGCTTGGACCGCGTCGGACTCTGGCTCTGGCTCGGCTTCCTCGGGTAGTCATCCATGCTACCCATCTCCTCCTCTTGGTGCCGAAGATGGAAGAAGATGCAAACAAAGTCTACTATCAGACCGATATCTTCTCTCTACCTACACATCGTCCCAAAGAACAAGAACAGATGAACAGCTCAAGAAATTCTCGATCAGGAGAGGGAGAGAGCACGCATTGGTTGGTTCTAAGGAAGGAAGAGGGGGAGGACGAGATCTTATAGGGACGGTGGCGTCGAGCACATGGTTACTGACTCGAGCTCAATAGGTGTAGGAGAAGGATGAGCGTGAAGTTTCCCCATGCCGCGGCTTTCCCTCTACTTTGCCTTTTTCCCAGGGCCAGCTGTTTGAGACGGAAGCAATGGGGCGGCAGAGGCGGGTCTAAGACGCCCGCATCCCCATTTTCTATTCCTTCTCCGCCCTCGCACACCGCGCCGCGGCGGTTGCCCCGTTCGAGGCGGGTCGGTGAGCGACGACTGACGGCCAAGCTCGCTCTGTTCTCGCGGGTGTCTACTGTGTGGCTCATCTGTGTCGTCCGAGCCATCGATCAGCGAAGGTTGCCGTCCCATTGGCTGAGCAAGCCTCCGTAGCCAATGGAAACGCGCTCTTTCCTGATTGGCGTCTCGGAGGAGACGCCAAATCCGGCTCGGAGGTGGGCAGAGGGCACTACTGGGGAAGGAAAAGGCTCTGACCTACGTACTATTTGCTAATGTACATTATGGAGTTGTCATCGAACCTCTTAGGTAGATGGCGTATTATATGTACATGGTTTTAGATTCATGACACCATATTAAACAGGATCTTGAATTTGGAGGCACTACAATCATAAAATAATATCGCATGTAATATAATCTATTAGGATAAACTATTCAAATGTCCCAATTAATTATATTGTGGGATCTGGCCAAGAAATCAGATCTCTGACTCATCTGATCATTAGACTCAGGTAGTAATTTAGAATCTAAAAGCATGTTTAATATGCAAAACAATTTTGCATTGGCTTCCTCCATGATCATGTATCTTTTTTGAGAATCAAAATATGCATATTTGGAAGTCTACAGAATAATCCTTCATGAGATAATATATACTGTTGGTGGAAACAATCTTTGAACCATGGCCTCGGGACCGACGTGGCTCGGGATCCGGATGATGGGGGATCTTTCCGAGACGGCCTTCAAATCTGCCGAGGTGGTCTGATGCGGTGGTCGGGACGGGGTCGTTGTTTCCTCCGGGCAGGAACTCCTCGCCTTTGCGTCCGGCGGGGACCTTCGGCTTCACACCTGCACAAAGGTCGAGTCAGGGTGCCCGGCCCGACCCCTCCGACGATCAAGTCAGATGATAGTAGTTAGGGGATCTTTTTTTCTCCCCCCCTCTCCTCGATGAACGAGAGGGTATTTATAGGGAAGCTTACTGCTTCATGAGCTGCCCGCTTGCAGGGGGCAGGCTGGTAGCGTCTGACACTGGAGTTGGCGTGACGTGAAGGATTGAGCTTAAGCAGGGTGTTAATGTCCCTCGGTCGACGTTCCGGTTTGCATTGACCAGGTGCTATGAGGCGTTATTTGGGATAGTTGACGTCATGCGAGTCTTATCGCAGTTATTATCCTCATCATATAGTATTCTAATCATGCTAACTTTTTAATCAAGAAGTCAACAAACCGAGAGAAAAGTATATCATGAATTTAGGATTAATTTTTTTGAATAATTAAATTTTAGATTATGGTAAAATGTGTTACTATAATAATAATATTTATTATTATTAGAAAAAACATGAACATATGTTTTTTTGGCAAATTCTTAGTTATTTTTAAAATACTTTTTTTACTTAATACTAATAATTTCATATCATAAGGTTCTGAAGTTGAATGATGCATTTACTGTTTACACATTGTAAAAAATAATCTTATATCATTGAAATTTTTTTTTTATTTGTTATTATTTCTCATTAGGATCAGTGGTGAAGGTACGATTGATCGTAATATTTTACTGTTCTAAAATAATTAAGATATCCTTTTTATAAATATATTATCAGAATCTAAGATTTCATTAGAATTTTGTAGAATTAGATGCAAACATCACTCCACTAAGTTATATGATGTATGCACACACATTGTGTCATTCATATTGAGCCGGACCGGACAGGGCCGGGCCGGGCCGGGCCTTATTATTTATGGGTCGGACGGTCTTAATAGGAAGAGTTGACCAACAACTCATTTCTGCGAGTCAAAGACGGTCAACGGTGTCAAGGTTCTGTTTGGGTGGTGCTGTAGTCAACGTCCAGCTCGCTCGACCAGACCCCCCCTCTCTCTCTCTCTCTGTCTCTCTGAACCATTACGATGGGCGGCAGCCGCACCAACCCGACCGCCGGCTATAACTGCCGCCGCTGCTTCTGCTGCTGTTGCTACTGCCACGGTCAACTGGGTGGTAATGCAGACAGCGCGAAGCGAACCATCCCACCGCAGGCATTGAATGCCTCCAAGTAGTCCTACTACTTGCTTTCAATTCTCTCTCTCTCTCTCTCTCTCTCTCTCTTCTCATGAGGTCGGATTATTGATTGCAGACCTTGTGGTGTTGTACTACCACTTCAGACAATGCATTGATAAGTTCACAACCAAGCGTACGTCAACACATACGTGTATCTGCATGTAAATGTGAGATTACATGTAGAAAAGACTTTTAGGGTTACATTCTGTAGGCTGCAAAGTGAAGAACTGCACACTGGAGATATTTAATGAGTATTGCTCCTTGTTCTTATCAGGGACTGCATGCATATGTACATGAACTGACAAGAAGGAAAACAAATCAATGTGATTGCCAACACTGTAAACCATAAAAATCTTTCACCAACACCGATCGACAACCATCTTGACAAAAGTATACAACGGTCCTAATGGCGTGCCGTCCACGAAGTCCGAACGCGTTCTTGGAACACATTATATGAACATGTCATGTCGAAAACAACCTAATAGCGAGCGAAAGAATCCAATTAATTGATGATAGCTATCGGTGGACGACCCAAGTTTTGAGCCATTCACTGCATTATTCAACACTATTAACTCGAAAGAGAATTTTTGGTGCAATTATAGTGATACCACTTGATACAAGTCTGTCATGATTCTGAACGAAGAAAAAAAAGAGAAGGTGTGCATCGATCACCAGTTAAGTGCATAACATGCATGGTAAATGATGTTATCTTGTGGATGCTGGACCAGTGCAAGCACACAGGCATGAACTGAGAGAGAGAGGGAGGGAGGGGGGGGAGAGAGAAGAGGGTTGGATGTTTGTGTGAAGTCCAAGCACACGAAAACAAATAAATGATCCATATGTATGTGAAGAAGACAGTGAGGAAACATGTATA